GCGGCGCGCCGCCCAAGGCCGGCCCGGGCCCGCTGGCACCGGCTGGCGCACCTCCGCCCCAGCAGTCTGCCGGGGCCGCCTCGGGCTCCGGCGGCCCGCCGCGCCCTTCGGCGCCGCAGCCAGGGACTAGACCCTCTGCTGCCGCGGCGCCGCCGCCAGTGCCGTCGTCACATGTGGGCGCGCAACAGCACCCACAGGCGCAGGCGCAGGTGCCAACCGGTGCACCGCGCCCCTCCGCAGGCCCGATCCGGCCGCCGCAGCTGCCCGGGAATGCTCCAGCTGCCTTGGCACCCCATGCACCAGCGCCGCTCACGTCAGCGGCGCCCCGACCCTTCGCGGCGGCGGCGCCCCCGTCCACGGTCGCGGCGGCGCGGTATGCGTCGGCGGAGCCTGCAGGCTCGTCTTCGTCAGCAGCGTCGTCGCCTGCCGGGTCGGCGGCCGGCGCACGCCCCGCAGCGCATGCGGCCCCGCCCCATGCTTCGCACCAGCCCCCCTCGCCTGCGGCGGCCAAGGCTCGCCCAGGGTCGGTGCCGGCAGAGCCGCCACATGCATCAGGGTCGCATGCACCCCACGGGCCGCTTACCTCGGCCGTGCCAGCGGCGCGGCGACTCAGCGGCTCAGGCGGATCTGGGTCGCAGCCCGTGAGCCCGGGAGCGCAAGTTGCGGGACCTGCAGCACCGCCGCCGCACGCGGCGCCAAGCGGCAGCAGGATCAGCAGCGGCGGCGGTGCTGCGGCGAAAAGCAGCAGCGGCGCCGCCGGCGCTCACTCGGCAGCCGTTGAGCCGCCACCGGCGCCTGCGTGGCTGAAGGCCGCCCGAGCTGACGCGTTGGGGGGCGGTGGCGATGACTCGCTCGCGTTCTTTGAAAGCCAGGGCAGCTCTGACCTGGGCGTGGCGCTGGAGCAGGCTCCAGCGCTCGCAGCTGCACCCACGCGGCCACACGGCCACGCCACCGCGGCGGTGGCAAACGGGGCGGCTGCGCAGGCGGCCGCGCGTGCGTTGGAGGGAGGCGGTTGGGGCTCGGCGCAGGCTGATCTTGCGGCGAGCCCACCGTCGCCACACGACTCGTTCTCGCCAAGGCACACTGCGCAGCCCCAAAAGCAGCAGCAGCAGCCGCATCAGCAGCAGCAGCCGCATCAGCATCAGCAGCCGCATCAGCATCAGCAGCAGCAGCAGCAGCAGCAGCAGCAGCAGCAGCAGCAGCAGCAGCAGCAGCATATTGGAGGGAATGGCGAGGCGTCAACAACTGCGACTCCACCGCACCACCAGCACCACCAGCATCACCACCAGGACCAGCGGCTTGAGAATAAGGAGGCGGCGTCAAATTCACCACTCGCACAGCAGCCGCAGCAGCAGCCGCAGCAGCAGCAGCAGCAACTGGAGTTGGTGGAGGGGGCCTTGCAACAGCAACATCACGGCAATGCACACGATCATGCTCAGGACCCTCAAGCGCCGGGCGGCTTCATCGTGGCTGACAGCAACCCGTTTGGCGGCAGCGGCGACGGCGACGGCTTTGGCGGGTGGGATGACGACTTCACAGTGGAAGAGGCGCTCGGTGGGGCGCCGCAGGCGCAGGCACATCCGGAGCAGCGGCAGCAGCAACAGCAGCAGCAGCAGCGGCACTTGGCTGACCATGCTGTCAAAGGAGTCGACGAATTATCCAGCTGGGGTCAGCACGCTGCGCCGGCCGTTGCACCACAGCTGCCGCGGAAGCTTGAGCAGCAGCGTGCCCCGTCGCAGCAGGCGGAGCGGGAGCAGCCGGAGCAGCAGCAGCTGGAGCAGCAGCAGCTGGAGCAGCAGCAGCTGGAGCAGCAGCAGCTGGAGCAGCAGCAGCTGGAGCAGCAGCAGCTGGAGCAGCAGCAGCGGCAGCAGCAGCCGGTAGAGGACCAGGTATTGCCAGGAGAGGGAGCAGGCCCCCAACAACGTGGCAAGCTGCACCACGACACCAGCCTCGCAAGCTGGATGGCCGAGCGCCAGAGCCGCAACGCAAGCAGCGCGGGCGGCAGCGGCGGCGGCGCGCTGGCGGCACTGCGGGAGCAGCCGCCGCCGCGACCGGACGATTTGGTGGACCTGCGGCCAAACAAAAGCTGGGAGGTGGTTGATGATGACGGCAGCAGCTTCTTTGGCGAGCCTCCTGCCGCGCTAGGGCCACAGCCATGGCACCTGCAGCAGCAGCAGCAGCAGCAGCAGCAGGAGCAGCAGCAGCAGCAGGAGCAGGAGCAGCAGCAGCAGCAGCAGCCTGAGGCTGCATCTGTGGCTGTTCCAGCCCCGCAGCCCGCGCCGCAGCCTTCAGCCGCGGCATGGCCGTCGCCCGCCGCGGTGGCAATGCCAGCTGCCGACTCGTTTCAACCAGGGCCGCCTGCCCCCGCGCCGCTGTCGCCGCCGAGGCAGCTGTCGCGGGGGCCGTTTGAATCTTCGGGCGGTGCGGAGGACGCAGACGCGGCGGCGTTTTTTGCAGATGTGGACGCGGCAGCCCAACCCCCATTGCCCTTTGCCTCGGCACCTGTGGCGGTTGCACCAGCAACCGCGGCCCCCGCGGCGGCGCTCGCAGCTGGTGCTGGCGCGCACCCTTTGCCGGCTCCTCCTGGCGGCTTCGTGAGCGCCAACGCGCCTGCCTTTGCGTTTGGCGACGATGACGGCTGCGCTTTCTTTGGTGGCGAGGAGGACGAGGCCCCGGCGGCCTCTGCGCAGAGCGGTCCGGCGCCTGCGGCGGCACCATTCTCGGGCACCAGCCGCAGCCACGGCAGCGGGCCGCCGTCGGGCACGTCGTCGCACGCTGTGGGGGCACCGAGCGGCGCAGCCGCGGGTGCAGGCTCGCAGCACGCGCCAGGCCACGGACTGGCTGTGGTGCAGCCGGGCCCGCCGGTCATTGCTTTTGGCAGCGGCGGCACCAGTGGGTATGGACCTTACGGGCCGAGCAGCACTGGTGCAGGGGCAGGCATGCTCACAGTCGATGATGGCAGCGACTTCTTCTCGTCGGGGCCCGACGGCGCTTCCTCAGGGCTCGCGGTAGGCGAGACTGGCGCTCCGCCGGTGCAGTGGGAGCCGCAGCCAAGCACCTGGGAGCCGCAGCAGCAGCAACAGCAGCAGCAGCAGCAGCAGCAGCAGCAGCAGCAGCAGCAGCAGGAGCAGGAGCAGCAGCAGCCGGAACAGCAGCACGAAGCAGGTGCCGGGATCCATCACCAGCAGCAGCATGAAGTGGTTTCCAAAGCCCAGGCGCGGCAGGAGCACGAGCAGCAGCACCCATGGCAGCCGCTGCCACTGCCGCAGCACAAGCCGCCATCACTGTTTGGCCACCAGCCACTTGGGGCTGACGATGACGGCAGTGCCTTCTTTGGGGACGGGCAGGACGAGACCGAAGCAGCCGCGTCCGCTGCGACTCAGTGGGATCAAACGCCGCCGCCGCCGCCGCAGCAGCCGCAGCCGCGGTCGCAGCAGCAGCAGGCTGAGCCTGAGCAGCAGTATGAAACAGAGGCACAGCAGCAGCAGCAGCACCAGCAGCAGCAGCAGGAGGAGGTTGCGGCGTGGCACCCTCACGACCCGCAGCAGGGCCAGTGGCAGCCGCCCCAACAGCAGTCTGAAGCCACCGCGCAGCCGCACCCTGAGCACCAGCAGGACGGCTTCGGCCAAGACCTCGGCAACGAGGGCGGCGGCGGCGGCGGATGGCAGACGGAGGCGGCCCATGGCTACGGCGCGGCGGCCGTTGGCAGTTACGCCCAACCGTCCCCGTGGTTGCCAGAGCCGCACCCAAGAACGGAGGGTGGAGAGGCGGGGGCGGCCTCGCAGCAGGTGCAAGCCGTGGGCGAGCCTGCTTGGCAGCAGCAGCAGCAGGGGCAGCTGCAGGACGCCTCCAAAACGGTCTGGCAAGCTAACGCCAGCGCCGATGCTGGCGTGTCTGCGTGGCAGCCGCACCTGGGGGTTGGTGCGGACGCGACCGAATGGCAGCAGCAGGCGAGCGGCAGAGACGGCGGCTGGCAGCAGCAGACAGAGGGCGTCGCCGCAAATTGGCAGCAGCAGGACGCCGTCGCTTGGCCACAGCAGGATCCTGGTGCATGGCAGCAACAGCAGCATCAGCATCAGCAGCAGCAGCAGCAGCAGCAGCAGCAGCAGCAGGACCCAAGCGTGATGGCCTGGCAGCAACAGGAGGAAAGCCTCGCTGCGTGGCAGCAGCAGCAGCAGCAGCAGCAGCAGCAGCAGCAGCAGGTGGCAGCCACAACCGCAAGCCCGTGGCAGCCGTTGGAGCAGCAGGAAGGAGCCTCTGCCGCTTGGCAGGCACCCGAGATGCCGAGCAGTGCTGCATGGCAGCAACAGCAGCAGCTGCAGCAGCAGCCTGAGGGCGCGGTGCCGTGGCAGCCGCTTCCGGCGGCGCAGCCGGCGGCGCCTGTGAGCTCGTCAGTGCCCTTCTTGCCGTTCCAGCCCGCCGCGCCAGCCGCGCCCGCCAACGGGGGCTGGAGCGGGGCCGGAGGTTACAGCAGCGCCGCAACTACTGTGTATGGCGGCGTTTACGGTGCCAGCTACCAACCGGGCAGCTTCTCAGGCGGCGGCGGCGCGGTTGACCCCGCGACCGCAGCCGCAGCTGCTGCCTCGCCAGCGCCGCGAACGGCGGCCGAGGCGCGGCAGAGCCCGCACGGGCGGCCGCCGTGCTGCTTCGTCGGGTTTGGCTTTGGTGGCAGGGCTGCAGTGGTGCTGCCCTGGGGCCCGGCGGGTGAGTGGGTGGCTTGGCGTCTCTCTTCTGCTGAATCTCATGCCTCGGCACAGCCGCGCTCACCCTGTGCTGCATTGCGATGTAGGGCCACTGATGGGCAACACGGTGCGCTGGCCGGGCCACTCCTGCATCTCAGATTCTCAACAAGATTGTCACGCCCAGGATACCAGCACTGCTCGAGCCTGAAAGATAACGGATCCGCAAGCACCTGAGACTGTGCCCACCTTTTTCGCCGCTTCCCTCCACTCCTGCCCGCAGGCGGCACGGGCGTCTCCTACCCACCCAGCGGCGGCGGCTCCCTCCGCCTGACCACGGCCCTCGCGCTGCCTCACGCCCTCAGGAGCGACTGCCCCGGCGCCCCGCAGCCGCAGGCCGCCGTGTCCGCCGCCGCGGCCGAGGATCCTGGGATCAGCCTGGCAGCTGCCCACCGGCTGCTGGACGGGTTCCCGGGGCCGCTGGCGCCGTCCTCGGGGCGGGAGAAGCTGCAGAAATGGCTGAAAGAGCGCGCGGAGCGCTGCGATGCTGAGGAGGGCGCGGGCGTGCCTGGGGAGCGGCGGGAGGCAGCGGCCAGCCTCTGGGAGGCGCTGCTGCTGATGGCCAGGCACGGCGGCCACCTGCGGCCGTCGCAGGGTGGGTGGCTGTGGTGGGTTGGCTAGAGGGCGGCGTGTCGGATCCGGCACTGGGGCCGTCGATGGTTTACCATTCTTTGCGATTGGGGCACAAGGGGGCCCTCAATCCATTTTTCGAGCTCTGCGTCTTGCTGCAAATCAGACCAGCGGGTAT